GGGGGGGTCTTCGAATATGTTAATTTTGCTGAGACTTAAGAGCTTCTCTTTATTACAGTTTTGGCTCCCTACAACTTTCTCGCAGACTAAATTTTCTTTCAGAAAAACTCGCACACACAGGTGTATAGATGCAAATTCAAGTTTATGACTATTTTAGCAACAGATCGATGTATTTGAAATTGTAAGTTATGATAATGTTCTAGTGTAAATCCTTTGAGGAGTGAGGGAGAACATACCACATTAAACAATCCCCTCAGATAGTATCCTGCTGTTAGAAGTACGGCGTAATTTATATAATGTCAGATACTAGTGGAAGTTCGTTATTTATTATAAATATTATACTCTGACTTGGCGAGTTCCAACTCCATCAAATTAAAGATACATGGTCATTAACTCTATTCCATACCTTTTTTAGCTGATCAATTATCCATGGCATACTGATAATAGCAGCTGACCAGATATCCATATTACATCTGTGGCTGGTAGTTACTTGTTAGAAGCTTTACTTGGTGAAACTACTTGATATCATCCCCTAAGTTGACATGTAATTTTCACGAAACGTCAAATCTTAGATACTAACCATCGCAGTGGCTAGTAGTGCAAAATTGAAAGGAATGCTTCTCTATCAATTTTGAGATGGTTCCTTTATTATCTTTTGTGCATTTTAGGGAGCCTTGTGGATTGGTGTGTAGAGAGTACAGATCAAATGAACCTTTCTAGCTTCCTTTCAATTTTCCTTACAAGGGTGGTGCTCTTGCTAGCTGACATGCGCATCGACTATTCTGCCGGGTACTTGCTACTTCTCATCATCACAAAATACCGGGTAACTATACCCACCCAAGGCTTAGGCAAATTCAAGCGTCCTTTTCAATTATGAGAAGGTTTTAGAGAGCACAAAGGGGTGTCGAACCATAGTCATTTCTTGAATAAAATTCCATGCAACCCTACGGCCGTGATGTAGGGTAAGACTGCGTACAATAGACCCTTGTGGTCCGGCCCTTCCCCGGACCCCGCACATAGCAAGAGCTTAGTGCACCGGGCTGCAACCTTATGGCCGTGCTGCCTTACTGAACTCTCGATTATGCAATTTAATCTAGTGTAAACAGGTCCTAGTTTATCAGAAGAAAATAGATCACCTCCTTCGGATTGATTAGAGTCCTTAATCACCTCTAGTTATACTTGTTCCATAACTTATATTTCTGATCAAGTTTGGTTATTAAAAAAAAATTCTATGAAGTATCTGTATAATTAGAACATATCCCTTTCTGCAGATCCAAAGAAAGTTGCAGTTGCGGATTGAAGAACAGGGTAAATACCTCGAAATGATGTTTGAGAAGACAAAAGGCATGGGGAAAGATCTAAAGATATCATCATCACTAAAAACAGATGAACATCCTTCACCATCCACCAAGACGAAGCATTTGCCTCCCAACGATAAATCAGAAGCACTAGAGCAGGATCCTCTTAGTTCGAACAATGCTTCAAGTTCCGCAGGGGAGTTTACACATGGCAAAAACAAGGAAGGGAACTCACTGGAAAGGGAAACTTGTGAAGATCACGGCTCAGATGTTAGAGACTTGTGTTCACCTCCATCGAAACGAGCAAAAACTGAGGAAACATCAGCTTCATGAAACTTCAGACTCATTTGTAATATGTGCTGAAATGTGAATTGTCTTTGCAAATGCTGTTCATTTGATAAAAGCTTCTGGTTTAAAAATACCTAAATCTTTCAACCAAAGAACCAACTATGTTCTTACCTGATCCCAGCATTGCTCGAACCATCATCTCGTAGGTCTACGAGTATGCTAATAGATAGAGGATCTTCCGGTCCTAGAACAAGAAAGTAGCTTGTCAACCTGTTTCAATGAACGTGGTGATCAACATTCTGCGTGTAAGGAGTCGATTTGCATTCTTGTCTAGCAATAAGCTAAGTGAAGCTGTGACTGAGGAAGCCATAGGAGCCTATGGTTCCATTCTTCTCGTCTGTCACTTGTTTGCACTTTGATTAGCTAATAAGTACTAGTTGTTATCTACTTAAAAACAATTTATTGGAATTATCATTTTAATATTCACTTATTAAAAGGCATTAATTTTTGGAAAACAGATTTATATAGAAAGGAACTTCTTTAAATAATAAAAAAGGGTAACCCAGTGCACTAAGCTTTCGCTATGCATGAGATCCGGGAAGAGCCGGATTACAAGGGTCTATTGTACGTAGTCTTACCTTATATTTCTGGCAGATGTTGTTTCCACGGCTCGAACCTATATAATAACAACTTTATCAGTTATGTGAAGGGGAGCCTTCGCGTAAGTGTGCAAGTATGTCACATCACTTAGTTTGGAAAAAAAGAGAGTAGACCAAGTTATGTAAATGTGTCACATCACTTCATTGTACTTCCAAATTAGTAGAGTTTAATACTTTTGATTTATAAATTGAAGGCACTTTTCCAAATGGAAAATTAGATGAAGTACTTTAATATTAGTGCATAGCAGCCCGGTGCATACGGCATCCCGAGTTTACATAAGGTTCGAAAAAAGATCGCATCTCAAAAGGTATGACGTAAATAACGTACAATAATGTAATGTAAGGATAATGAACTCCAATTCTACAAAAGACAATGTCAGACGCATAAGAATTCTTGTGTCAAGAGGTACAATTTCAGATAGTGGGTACCATGTATACATAAGCGAAAGACAGAAAGTCAGTTATCTGCAGTGTAACTAACTCCAAAGCCGGCAGACTAAAAATACCAAAATACCCCCCATGTCTGTTATTCTTGTCTTCCACTCTTTTTCGTTTTGTCTATCACAAGTCCACTACTTCCAAATGTTTGAAGCTTTCATCACAATCATATTCTAACAGACACAGCTTTATTGTTGTAGGCAGATTATTTTGTCAAGAGAAAAGAGACAAACTTTGCAGAGGTATTTGTTAGGATTGAGTTATTAAGTGGAGTATATTTGGAATAAATCAATCAATTTTTTCTTTCCTCTTTGGTTTTGTGTTTTCTTGATGCTTTTGGCTTATTGCTTTTCTGATGCCTTGTAATGCATGGTTAATGTGAAGTAGACATTTTTCCAATGAATGATCATGTTCTTTTTCAAAAAATAATTTGTGATTAATACATAATTGACTGATTGTTTTTTTTTTTGCTTCGTCTCTTTATGCATGGATAAAGAATGGGGAAAAAGGGAAGCTGTTTTTCTGCAGTAAAAAAGGTTCTTTGTACTAAGAACAAGAAGAAAGAGAAGGTAGTGAATGATTTGAATTCCTACTTATTTCTGCTTTTGGTATGTTATTTTTGGATTACTTTACATACCGTGCAAATTTCTTTTCCACCAGCAAAACCAAAAATCTAGAAAATGGTTCCAGAAGCAGAAGAACGCGGACTTGGATTCTTCCGGTGCACATACCACAACAGCGGATCCTGCAGCCGCTCCTCCTATAGAGCAGATGAGATTCGCGGAAGCCGAGAATGAGCAAAATGAGCATTCCTACGCTGGTGCGCTTGCTACTGCTGTTACAGCACGTGAATTAGGTGAATCGAAGGAAGAGTTTGCAGCTATCATGATAGAAACAGCTTTTCGTGGATATATGGTAAGGTACCTATCAAGTAATGTAATTTAAGCTAATAAAGCAGAATAGAGAGTGTATTCACGCTCTTTGCCACATCAACATCCAAGGGGAGTCAAGGCTATTAAATTGCCAACTTAAGGGGGTAATTAGGCCAATATAAAGTTTAGGTGTGTACTGAATAAAAGTCGTCAAGTTCAGGGAGGTCTTGATCTATTCTGCCTACATATTTGGACACATTTTTGGTTCCACTTACAGATTATTCAGATGCATCAGTTGACAGGCTAAAACTGCATGATTGTGTTACCGATCTGAATACTCTTCTCTTTTCAATTATATGATTTTTGTTTTCTTCTTTATAGAATACCAGGAGGGTTGAAAGATTTGCTTACACGTTGATTAGCTTTAGAGTTTGAAAATGCTGGAGCTGCTCACTATATAGTCTTCACTATTCTCTAAATGGAAATCCTACAACAACTCTACAAGTTTGTTGAAATTAGTCACAGTGTCGGAATAGTGTGAACATTTAAAATAGCTTACATGAGATGACTACGTTATACGTTCCTCGTTTTGTACAGGCTAGGAGGGGATTCAGGGCTTTGAGAGGACTAGTGAGGTTGAAGAAAATGGTTGAAGGGCAATCTGTCAAACGGCAAGCCACTTCTGCTTTAAGGTACATGCATACAGTAGCTCGTGTTCAATCTGAGATTCATACCAGAAGAATTAGAATGTTAGAGGACAAGATGGCTCTCTTCCAACAGAAGAACGAGAAGGAGCAGGAGAAGTTGATAGCATCCGTGAGTATACCTTTGAACACTAATTGAATAGATTGCATTTCTATGTTAAGACATATCGATGTTTAATTTGTTTCTAGTTATATATATCCTTTATTTCTGTGTCTTGTTTCAAAATAATCTGCTATTACTGTGACAACTTGTTTTAATATTCTCTGCCTCAAACTTTGAAAGCTGCTTTGGTCATTCCACTTATTTCTGATTATTTGCTTCTATTTGGATAGTTTAAGTACCTGCTATCATAGTTTCCTCTTCCTTTTGGCTTTGGCTCAATTTTACATTTTGTAGAAATTTGGGGATATTTGGAATGACAGCACACAGTCAAGGGAACAAGTTGAAGCAAACCTCCAAAGCAAGCAGGAGGCTGCCTTGAGAAGGGAAAGGGCTTTGGCTTATGCATACACACATCAGGTAGTGCTTTCACACCGTGTTTAACTCAGGGTTCATCTTACATGAACAAAGTATTACCATCTATTTTTTTTAATCATAAAGATTGCTCAAGACCATATAAAGAGACAACGACCTATTCCTCAACCAATATAGGACACTTTAACACGCGCAAAGATTGGTTTTTTGACTTTGGGTGGCTTTGATATAGATCCCTTTAGTAGGACTTATTTGTAAAGGTAACAAAACTTTAGGACATTTACCTTCCTCAATCTTTAATTGTACTATGGCTATTAAAGATCTTCTCCAATGTTAGTAAACAAAATTCATTGTTTACTTTCAAGGGATTCTAGGCAATGACAGTGAATCTAGTGAGTCTGTCTTTAGAGTATAGCTCCGCACTTTAACCGTCGTGTAATGATCGTGTGCCTTCACCCCATGATCTTAGTGCCCCGATTGCGCCTTCTGTATCTATCTAAGTGCATATGTATACACTAATTTATATGTGGGTTCCGCTTCGGGGACAATTATGGTTTCCCTTCCTTTTTTCCTCTATGTTTTTTTGATGTTCTATGGTGGAGGGAGGTGGGTGTGTTTCTTGCATTTCATTTGGCCATATGATAAACATCTACTCCATCTATCTCAATTTATGTATCTTACTTTCCTTTTTAGCCTGTCCCAAAAAGAATGTCATACTTTCTTTTTTAGAAACTATTCGACTTTAAAATTCTCGCTTTACCCTTAATGAGATTATTTACAGCCACACAAAATTCTATGGCTTGTTTTAGATCAGTGAGTTTCAAATTCCGTACCTAGTCAAACACCGGTACATAAATTGAGATAGAGAGAGTATTAGGCAACTGCATTTTCATTCGGTGGCTTAATGAAGTTACTTTATGGCAAAACTTATTTCTTGTTACATGATGTTAATTATCCAAGACTTTTACACCAGAAAACACAGAGGCATCCTTCAAAAGCTACAAATCAGACATTCACGGACTCGAAAAATCCCCAGTGGGGCTGGAGTTGTTTGGAGCGACGGATGGTTTCACGCCTATGGGAAGACAAAAGTGCATTTGACAAAGAACTTAACAGTATTCAACACACTGCAAAGCTCCCAACCAACCATGCCACTTCTGTTGGTGAATTTGATCACTCTCGTCGTGATTTTCACCTTGACAATGTGCCTTCTCCAACCGCTCATAAACAAAGCCAATCACCATCAACACCTCGGTCAACGCCAGTGAGAATAAGGCTAGCAAACCCAAGGAGAAGTAGTAATGTGGATGGAGACTCAAGAAGCATTGCCAATGGTCAGTCGGATCGTGGAAGGAGGCATAGCATATCGTCAATTAGAGAACACGAAAGCCTCGCGAGATTCCCACATGTTCCTAGTTACATGGCAGCAAAAGAATCAGCAAAGACGACCAAGTTGCATTTACCAAGTTCATTGGATTTCAAGAAGAATGGAACACCAGAGAAGGGAACATGTAATTCTGCAAAGAAACGATTGTCTTTTTCGACATCTCCTCGTGGTCCAAGGAGGCATTCTGATCCACAAAGTTAGAGGTGTGAAAGGAAGTATTTTTTGATAGCAAGTTACAAAGAGAAGAAGGCCTAATACTTTGGCTTTTCTTCTTCAAAAACTTTCTCGGTGGAATTGAACAAGGGCGAGTTTCAACTAGAGAAATTGTTAAATGCCATTTGCATTGCTTCTAACATTATGCATTGCTGCATCCAATGATTGTTTTCTAGTGATAATGAGCATTTTTCATTGGCTCCAAAGTGATGCTATTATCTTTTTATTTTATTCTATTTATTCTTGTTTCTGAAGGGAGCCTTGGCGTAACTAGTAAAGTTGTTGTCATGTGACCAGGAGATCACGAGTTCGAGCCGTGGAAACAGCCTCTTGCAGAAATGCAGGGTAAGGTTGCGTACAATAGACCCTAGTGGTCCGGCCCTTCTCTGGACCCCGTGCATAGCGGGAGTTTAGTGCACCGGGCTGACTTTTGTATTTATTCCTGTTTCTCTAGTGTGCATTATCAAAAGTTTAGATTGGATTATTGTTTTAGCAGTATATGAGGTTTCTATTTGTAATTGTTATTGTCACTCTGTAATTGAAACTTGATCTTAATTTATGAAGCCTTTTGGTTTATCATTAGTGTTGAGTTCTGTTGCCTACTGTGTGTTTAATTTACTATAGTCACGGGTTCGAACCGTGGAAGCAACCACTAATGCTTGCATCATTAGGGTAGACTATTTATATAACATTCCTTGGATACAATCCTTCCCCGGACCCTACGTGAACGCGAGATGCTTTGTGTACCGGGCCAAGAAGAAACTGTATGTTTACTCTCACTCAGTAACTATTCAAAGCAGGAAGTTTGCTCTCATCACAAATTGCACAATGCAAGTCATGGGGCTGTATTAGCCATTTACTTGGTAACCAAGCGGTTCTGTTTTCCAGAAAAAAGAAAAGTTTTCCTGGAATATATGAATCAAATTGAATAAGAGAATTTCTACCCAGAACTCTACTGTATTGTCTACAAAAACTTATCATATAAGAATCACCTCTAACAGGCGGACACTTGATTAAGTTGTTAAAGTTTGAAACTTGTAAAAATTTGTAACTACCATTGCGATATTCGTGTAGTCACTTGCTTTCAGTTTCACATAACTTGTTAAAATTGGGTTGCTAATGTCAATTTATTTCCAGTTCATATATATGTGTCTTCATATATTAATTTTTATATAAAATTCGATACCTTGAGGATAAATAAAATTTCTTGAAATCATAAGTAGGAGTGGTTGTTCAGTTCGAATTGGATATGAAAATTTTATTTGAATTTTCGATTTCGAATTAATTTGTTGAATATTTTAGATTTTCAATTTTGAGCCTATAAGTTGAGCATCTTATTCTTCTTACAAAAATGAACATTCAAATAAAGTATTCTATGTCAAATTTCCCAAATAATTTCACAATCATCCAAATAAATGCAATTGAAGCCTTAGTAAGGCCCTAAGAAATAATAAGTGTGTTATAGTAAAACTATGTCCAAATAGAAACTATGATGACCTTGACTTGCTAATTAGTAAGTATTAAAATGTGAGTTAATATCTAATGGATAGTGTATTGAGATTAATAAGTAGGGAAATTTTTGTAAAGCACTATTTTTTAGTAGTAATTAGCCATCTATAGATACCATTTGCTATATTACGGATTATAGATACTTTTTCTGTGGTTATAAGATGTATTTGATGTATTTAAGCTATTGTATTTATGAATAAAGTAGCAAAAATAGGCATGAATCAAGGAAGTCCAGCAAATCAGTTGTTGTATTCGAGTGTATTCAATTGTATTCATGGAGTGAAACATGAGATTACAGCTGGACAGATTATTGTATTCGACTGTATTCACGGCGTGAAATATGAGATTACACTGTTTTTAAAACGGAAAGTGAATCAATTAACATGATAGACTAACACTGTATTCTGGGCCGGGCCTTCGTGGGCCAAACGGGCCGGTCTTTGTGGGCCTAGGCTTCATGGGCCTGGGCTCTGGCGGTCCCGGGCTTCGTGGGCTCACCTGGTGGAACCGGCACGTCACGGGCCTAAGCTCATGTGGTCCTGGGCTAAACGGGCCGGGCTCGTGGGCTTCGCGGGCCTAGCGTTTTTTTTTTTTTT